CGTACCGCTCGATCCGGGGATCTTTTTGTGCTCCGGGACCAGTGGAAAATCTTTCACGAAGTGTACAAAGTGCCGCGATAACGTGAACTCAAGAGTCCTCTTTACGATTCGAGGTTTTTCGTGCCTACGAAACGCTTCAAGGAGCAATCGTTAATAGTGCAGGATTAGATTTAAGTGATATAACGTGAGCCCTTTTAGTGTCTACTAGCTTTCGATTTGCAGAAAAGTTATTTTCATAAATGCTAAAAGTGATGTTCATCGTAGTTAATACAAAAAATTTGAGAATTTATTTTAAAAAAATTAGTATTTTATTATTTAAATATACTAACCACATGAAGGTCACACTATTATAGGTCATTGGATTGGTCTTGATCTCAACTATTGCGCCACGAAAAGCCCTTACTCCCTCTTTTATTACCCTCCTGTCTTTAAGGCTATGTTCTTTTAAAACTCACCCAAAGTTCACCTAAATTTCCGATACTAAAATGGTCACTAAAAGTTTACTAAACTTCTGTTTCCGCTTATTTTATCTCCATTATGGTAAACGACGCCAGCGATAGGATTGACACGATACCATTTCGCACGTCGTAATACACGTTGTCCAATTTCCTAACCAAATGAAATTTTCCCAGTAGGAATGGGGAGTGGACGAAAGTCGATTTCGTTCTTCTCCCCTTCTCCAGGTTGCGGAAGTTTAACCGCAGCAGGGCGTTGGCGTGAACTGAACGTGATGTATGGGGGTGGAGGAGGAATGGAAGTACACAAAATACGTGCTCCCTTAATGGAATACAAACTTCCGCTAACTATTGTAACGAAATTATCTGAAAACTGTCGACGGAAAGGGGGGAGCACGTGAGCGTTAACACGAAAGTAATGCACGTTTCGGTGCATTACGCGTTTTACCAGGTCCCATAAACGATTGCCCGGACACAGGGAATAGTTGAAACTCGCCTCTGGTCACAATGGAAAAAGTCCCCGTGCATGGGCTGAAAATGGAACGGTATCGTCCGAGGACTTCGAAAATTGAGTTCACCCCCATCATCTATTGGAACGATCGCAGATTTCGCAAACGCATCAGTGAACAGTTTTAATTAATTCCCTAACTTTAATGCACATGTTGTTAGAGCAATCGATGTAAATTCGAAATACCCGATTAACGAAATAAAAAAGCTTTTGAATAATGACTATTTCGTTATATTATAATTATAATTTGAAACGGAAGAATTACTACCCGTATTCGTTAATACTTATTAAAACTTTCAGTTTACCACCTTTTCTTGGCGACTTAAACGACAGAAATAACCCAGCTGCCTCGTAAAAATTAAGAATTTCACTGCGCGAATAGAGGAAAAAGTTCATACACGTGAAATCCCACATCACTCAAAGGTTAATTAGAAAAGGATTCCGTCAGATGTAAAGGAAGCGGAGAGATTATGGAAAACCAGCGGACAGTTTAATTAAAGTCGAGAATTCGTGAAGAGGATGTAACTAGGGGGATACTGTGAAATCATTAGGAAGACGTGTGTTGGAAAAAGAGAAGCAAGAAATTTAAAGATTCACGTATATCACCGTATGTTCCAAAAGGTAGTAAAAACTACTCTTCCAAAAATCGTTTACGAAGAAGCATTCATTAATTCGGTGCAGTTACCGTGGCGTGAAAGCGTTGTTGAACCCTAGATTACGATACTTCACTGTGAGTTTCGTTATTACGAAACTTTCGTCAAATTTACTATGTCACTAGAAATAATATTTTTATTGACCTTTTGGTAGAAATCTTCGGAACAATTATATTTTGGAGGAACTACAGTCTAAAAAATAATTTAAACAATTAAGGAGCCAGGACAAACGTTAACATTATGTACTGGACATATAACTATCTAAAAATATTGTATTTTGAGATCGTAGTTTTTACGACACTTTCGTAATCTAGGGTTAAAGATCACCCAGTTAGATCATGATTTCGTTGTCCATTTGAACGGGTGGGAAAACCTGCGTAAATAGGAAAGGGGTCCACGAAGTTTATCCCAGAATTCGACGTGAACGGAAGCGAAACGAGTCCCATTTATCGGCGGAGATATTCCCCTTTCCTCCCTGCTCAACGAACTTCGCAACGGTTCTCCTGTTTCAGCTTTTATCGGCCGCATTTTCGGCGTGTCGTCGTGTCTGTATATTTATTCAGAGGCAACCGGGTAAAAGAGGCTGAATTTATTTATAAGCGATGCCGGAGGCCGACAAAGCGAAGCGTTCTCCGCCAGACCGAGGTAGAACCGTGAAATCCTCTTTGCCTGTCCGCCCGCATTCCTCGTCCATCAATTACGTTCCACGATCGTTATTCCGGATCTTACCACGGCGAATAACGTCCAATACGATCCACGAAATAATGGAAAGTGGAAAAACAACAATGATCGTTCACCGTGTGAAACGTGACGGAAAAAGAGGGGGTGGAAGAGGGGTTGATAGCTTTTGCTTCTGTTTTCGTAGGGGACGAGGTAATAAGAGATAGAGCCCATCGAACGTGTATGTCGAATCGATAATATAAATCCCTATTTCATGTGTATTTAAACACACGTGTACTATTTCACATATATTTAAATACACGTGTATTAACGTATCTGCATTTTGATTCGCATTAATTTTCAAGATACAGTTACTAAGTTTGGAAAACAATTATTTAATTTGAAAATTGAAAATCCGGGAATTGCAGAAATCCATTGTTACCAGAAAATGAAAATATATCAATTTATTTTGTACCAATGCAGACAATTTATTAAAGAAATTTTATTAATAAGGATGATATTTTTAATTTATTTTTGTGCCAACTACTGGGAAAATTGTGAAACCATAGTCTCGATCCATAAATTAATATCAATGTTCTAAAAATTATACGAATTAAAATAAAGATGCATTAATGCACGGGTATTTAAATACACGTGTATTCAAATGTACCTGAAATATTACACAGGTTCACATGTGTTTATAATGCACGTTCAAAACTATGATCTCTAATCGATAGGAACGACAGTTGTATGTGCGTGCTCGTTAAATGAATTATCTCGAAGGATTCGAACGGGTTTCTACATATTGTAGCAGGACCCACCATGGTTGCGTCTCCGACGAAACATAGGACGACGCGATACGCGACTGCAATTTCGTATTAACGTTAAATCCCCGCGCCCGGGGAACTCTGTGCCTCTATGTGTGTGTCCAACGTGGTATGTATAAACGGTTATACTCGGTAATTGCCGAGTTGCTGTCCCACGGGAACGGAAGGAACCAGAACGAAAGCGTGGATGTTAATTAGCCGACGATGGGTGGATTAAACGAATCGTCGTGTGTGAGGAGCCTGAAGAATGCTGAGACACTCGAAACGGAATTATAATGTAAGACATATGTCGTAATTCCATACGCAATTTATCGTGCCACGAATGAAAAGGACAATAAATATTCATCCGATTGTATCAAACCGATTTGTAAAGACCATACAATTTACATGACTAAAAAAGGTAGTTAGTAAGTATTCATACTAACATTATCTATATTTTTATAACAGTGCTGATTTATGAATACAAAAATGTATTTTGTACTGTGTAAGCTGTTGTGAGTCTTTTTCACTCACGATATGTAAATCTGATAACCAGAATCATGTATCGTAGAGTTAAACAAATTTTCAAAGTTCATTGATGGTTCTTGTCTGTGTTTTAATTGATTCATACCCTATGGTACCAGAAGGCACCGTATCTGGAATCGAATTTCTGTCGAACGACGATCGTAAAAAGCTCAAACTGTTTCGAGGACATTCATGGTGATCTGGGTATCGTCGATCGGTTGTCGGAAGAAAGTTCAATCGGCGATAGAATCACTCTAAAATGTTTGTCGATGGCATTATTCGGCCTGGAGGGGAACGTGCTTCGATCCACTTTATCGCGCGCGTCCACCCCCGCACGACATTTGGTAAAATAGAGGAATTATTCCGAACCATTTCTCGCGAGATTGACTCGCCCGTCGTAATTGAGATGCGAAATAATAGTGGCAACCGAATGCTGTGTGGTGTATTCCCCCTGGATTCCACGGCAGTAATCGGAACCGCTTTGCTAGGCAAACTTCGTTGGAATTAATCGCGAGTCGCTTGAGGCATCGGCACTGATACCATCCACATAATGAGAAGAAATTTCTTTCGTAGACATATTAATTGCAACTGATATTCTTTCTTATTTAAAGATGCCACTGGTTCCACAGTAATCTGAGACAATCGTCTGGATTAATTGCAGTGGTTCAGGTCGTAAACTGATAATTTCAGTAGATACAGTAATTTATAGTCAGACACACAAATAACGCAAAAATGAGTGACAACGATTGTAGGATATATTTATTCCAACTGATATTCTTTTTTATTTGTAGAAACTACTGCTTTCTCTTGATTATAATAATCTGATACAATCATCTCGAATAGTACCAATGGTTTTAGTCGTTGCTTGATAATTTCAGTAGATCCATCAGATTATATCCAGACATCACAATATCGAAAAAATCAGTGACAACGATTATAGAAGCTCAGCCACAAGTTCGGTTAATCTTCCGACGTAGGTAAAATATTCCAGACACTCTTTTCACTGGTAATCCGGGGAGCTGTATACCCCGAAAAAATATACGATGACAGTGATAAAAGGGACCATCGGGACATCAATCTTCATAACCCCAACGTCTAGTTTACATTATCAGCGTGAGCAACCCTCTCCCACTGGCGAAGTGAGCACGGTGGGGGGAGAAGGTGAACCCCTCTACGGGTTAAAAGGAGAATCGGAACTAATTGTCACACGCTGCCTGATCACTTGTCACTCGGGATCCAATAGTCACAGCGCGAGCTCCATTCGATGGATCTTTCCTTCGCCTAACAAAGACGTTTATATCGTACGAAATCTCGTGAAGAAACAATTCTAACGATCCGTGATCAAACGATTAACGATATAATATCGAATTCGTTCAAATCGGAAATATCAACGATGGCTAAGTAAATTCCGTGAAATTTTGTCTTGTAGTCGCGTGTGAACACAAGGTTCTCTGCACGTCAGTGAGAGGTGGATTCTTTTTCACAGTGGATACTTTCGACTCGTTGTTTCCTGGATCCTCGTGAATGAATTCGTGGTCATCGATACGAGACAGAACGATCGTAGCGAAGAATGGGTCGTCAGACTCGAGGGTGGCCCGCAAGTTTCCTCTCTCTTGGCCCTGCAGTCTGGGTACAGACATCTTGGACCGGTGAGTGTTCATTTCCTTGAAACTGAGGGGGGGGGCGCACCGAATGAAGGAAATCGTTGAGGATCCATTCACGTTTCTTACGTATCACTTGAATCGATGATTCTGTCAGAAGCCTTCGTGTAGAGAGTCGCTGTCCGTTCGATTTGATAAGAAAGTTCACTCGAATTCACGTATACGAAACCCGAGATGGGCAAATTCATTGTACAGATAAAGAGTTTCAAATAACGAAGAGAAACGTGGAAATTTCAATTTGTTTTAATAAATTAATAGTTCTTCGTGAATGGCAAGAAATGAAATGATCACATTAACAGTTTAAAACTCAGAATCATGACCTTAGATACTGCAGCGTTTGGCTATGTATTATTCAAATAAAATTGTGCCCAACTCTGTACGAAATCAATCGTCGTCCTTAAGGGAATTCAGACTCTGGTACATAGACGTCTTCCTAACGTAAAAAATCCCAGTTCCCGTACCATGAATTGTTCGCCAGCAATCACCCAAGACAAGCTTGTCGATATTAGACACAGCCCCGTGAACAGTAGTGTACCTGGAGATGCAATTAAAACTTGAACAACTGCTTAATAAGTTATTGTTAGCCACTTGTGCATCGCCCGATTCTAGTTTAACTTCGACCAGAGTATCACGGTCTTCTGAGCTAACTTTCGTGTTTCTGTTAGACAGAAGTAGACAAAACCGAAATTTTCCTCGCTAGAATAGACGAGGAGTAAAAGGTAATTTATCATCACGAAAGCAATATTATTATGTACAAATTGTTCGTTTAAAATTTCACGGAGCAAAATTTACTGTAATACGAGTTTTAGTAAAATAACATTTACTGTAACACGAGACACTGATGATGGAAGTGTGGAAGAACGAACGGTGGTTAAAATGACAGGATACCAGGTGTGTTCAATTAATATTTCGATAAGAGGCTTGCTCGACACCATATGCGATGTTCGACGAGGTGTTTCCATGTCTGATAATCCCAAATGAGTCACTCTAATCTCAAGTGTTCGTTAAACAAGCAAGGGGGGAGAGAGCCACCAGTCGCTTTCACGCGTGACGTAAACACGAATCGCCTCGTACGCGAACTGTTACCATGGGAAACCACGTATCTCCGCCTCGTGTACTGGAAATGGACACGACAGACGAAAATTCTCGTGGAAAAATGATCGCGGTGATTACAAACAGGTCACGAATCGGAATTTCCGTAAGCCTGGATTCCATGTTTCGCGTGGCAAATTCCTCGCGGTAGCGAAATAGGGGAAAAAACGTAATATTTAACGCCCCAACGGTGCGTTAATTCTTTGTAGAAAGCATAACTGCCGGCGGAAAACTACAGCGGTGTTGGAAATACCATCGATAAATGTTTCACGAAAATATTTGATCGTCGATGGAATGCAATCGGTGTACAGAGTTCGGTCGATTAATATGTAAAAGTGGGTACCACGTGATTCCTTATAAAAAAAAATAAAAGCAATATGTGGAATATAATTTTGTCATCTTCATCTTAGTTTTCGGGAAAATCCACTCTGAATATATCTGCTGGATTCGCGTGCAATTGAATAGGATTTGGCTGACGCGTCTGATCATTGCATTCCGTTTCTACTTACTACAACGACAAATACACGCGTTTCGTCTTAATGTTCAAATTAGATTTTCAAATTCAATAATAATTTAAAACTTATATAAATTTAAAAAATAATACTATAATATTATTGTATAATAATAAAATTACACATTTCATTTTGAACAAAATCCCAGTCATCCAGAGAAAAAAGTTTACATATAATATGGGCTTAGCCAGTGGAGAAATTACTTCCACATCCTAGTAAATCTTACCATACAATTGCTACAATGATAAATCTGTTTGTAAAGCAATAGAAGATCTATCGGTACACTAAGAGAAACAATAATGTATTTCAACACTTTCCCCAGTGTCTAACCGCACGACCAAAAAGACCGTTTCGAGAACAGGTTTCACTCGATCAATTACACCTCCGAGGATCGGACAACCGAGTCGAGTCGAGGGATGGAAAGGGTCGTCGGAGATTGGCTGAAATATCATCGCGTGGAGGAAAAGTAGGAGAGATAGGGGGTGGTGGAAAGGGATTCGCAAGGTTGATATCTTTGGTCGCCGGGCGTTTTCTCTCGCGCGACTTGATCTCAAGGCGGAACCTCGTTTTGCAAAGTGCACGAGGAGCCAAGAGAGATCTGGCCGATGTCTAAAGGTGAATCCCGGGGTTGGAGAACGTAGGGAGAGAATGGCTGGAACGAGCGATCAAATGGTTCGTGAGGCTTGCTTACCGAGATAATCTCTTTGCAGCGATCCGTGGCCCGCCCCAAGAGGAAACGATTTGGCCACACTTTTTCGACGCTTCCACGGTACATTCACGTCCTTCCCCCCGTTGGATCCCGAAGGCTTGAAATACGTTTACGCTTTCGCGCAGATTTACAGAGCCTGGAGGGGGAAAGGGTGGTGGACGGCCTTGGAAAAATGTACCGGAAAGTCGCGTTCAAAGGCTCCAGAGAGAGAGGCCTGGTAAATTCCAGCTCGATGGACGGGAGTTTCCCTTCCCACCGAGAGCACAAAGCGGAAACTCCTCTCGGGGAAATTGAGACGCGGTCGTGATCTTCGAATAACGACGAGTTCCTGTCCGATGTATCCTGTTCTGTGGTCTTAGAGTGTCGAAACTTCGAAAATGGAACAGAATTCTTGGAATACGTACGATAATAAACTTGTAAAGGTGCCTATCCATTTGTTGCGTATCATCGTATCGTATCACTATACCGATACATTTTCATATGCAACGTTGCAACGCTTGCCCGTCCAGATTGATAAACAACGGTGATACGATACAAGGTTACGCAACAAGTACAGAATTCCTTTCGTTTTTGGGAAACTATGGACAACAATGTAATCCTAGAGCCTGCAGACGTCAAGAAAATCGTAGGGCAAGGGTTTAACTAAACGCATATATTTTCGACGACTTGTGACTTAAAAAACGACGTAAAATTTGTCTGGCTACGTACGTAATCTCCAAAAATATTAGCCGATCACCGGGAAATACTGTAACATACAGTGGAATTAGAAACGCGGGAGTAGAATGTCGTTAACGCATGCACGTCGACGCAGCAAACGTTATCGCGCCGCAATTGCCGTAATCGCTTTCGTGCGTCCCGAAGTGACGCGTGTTTTCTGAACATCAAGCCAGCACAGTAGGAACGGGCAGCGCTGCATAATTACGCTAACAGAGTGGCTCTCCTTTTTCAACCGCTTCACCTGGCCCGCTTCGTCTCCCCCTACTCCTCACTCGCTCAGGCGTCGAGAGCGCACCGAACCGCGCCGCTTCTCTCTACGCCCGCGAAACTGCATTTCCCTGCAGCTGCAGCCGACTGACGCAGTTGCAGAGCTGCACAGGCAGCAGCCTCGCGGCCGACCGCAATACGCGCAGAGCCGCGATTCTCCTCTTTCTCACTTTCTCGCTCGTATATTTTCCCCCAGTCACGTCGCGCAATTATTTCGTATAATTAAGCTCACGTGGTCGGCCCTCGAAGGGCGAAATTCCCTACATGGAAAAACAGCTCGTCTCTGTTTTATCGCTCTGACGAGCCTCCACGCGTCAAAAATCACGTGACCGCTACGCTCTCGACGCTGGAACACACGGTTGAAAAAGGAAGAAAAAAAAAAATGAAATCCACGGAAATTCGTTGGAATAGATTTAGCTGTTCGATATACATTTGAGATTATGAAATTTGTTGGAACAGATTTACAAGTTCGATATACATTCGAGATTTTGAAATTTGAAGAGATAAATCACCCTGTTCGGTATTATTTGGGAATTTGAAGTTATTTCAAGAGGCAGATTATCCCTCAGAACAGGTCGCCAATTATTACGATACCGTTTTGTGGATTTTGTTCGATTTTGAGGGACAAAGTTATCATGCTATAGGTCGCTAAATTCACCTTGAGAAAAACAGAAGGTCACCTTGATATCACTAAAAAAGGAAGATATAAAAAAATATTTCATTAGAATGTTTTCTGATACAAGCAACAAGTAACGAGTTATTTTAGATAGTGGTTCTCATCGTCTCACCCTGTATATTTGGAATTTTTTAAATTTGTAGGGGCATAGACTTATACGGAAAATCCTGACCCCAACTGATTTTGTACGGATTTCTTCGCGACGCGATACCAGCCGGTGATTAAAAAAGACATTTAGGTGGCGTCGATTTGGCAGCGAAACTTAAGAGCCCCGGCTACGACCATTCTTCTCCGTGTACGAGTCGTAAATTACGGCTAATACGTCCCGCGAATTGAAACGGGGACGCGTCGGGAAGATAACTCAATCCGGAAACATTTTCTGAACGGCTTCTTAGCCATCTTGCCAGAATCGTGTATCGCGATTACACATTCCACCGGTCACACGATTAATATCGATTTGATTTGTGTACTCTTTCCAGGAAAACTAATTCATATTTATGCGATATGAATTAGTGTAGAGCAATTAAATTTTAAAATCAATTGAATTCGTCGATAGACGATAGACAATCGACTTCTATTACGAAATATTACGGAATTGAAGTTCATTGTAATGATTATAATATTCTACTTCCAAAGGGTTGAAGAATCGAACGTCTGAACAGAAATCCACGAAAATGTTCCTATCGAACGTTCACGGGTAATCTGTCGTTTATTTAGGAGCTCGTAGAGGGGGTGGAGGAACGCGCAGAAAATCCGATAAGCAAGCTGATTACTTGGAGTGAAACTTCTGCACGTCTGGGTAACTCCGGTTTATCATATATCTTGGCGTGGGGTCCTATATTATAAAGGCACGAGATTGCTCAATCAAGCCTAGCCTCCAGGCATATTGAAATCCAGTTATCGAGAACCTGTTACGAAACTGTTCGAATGAATTTCCTAACATTAATTTCCTGAAGGCACAGCGCGCACGCCCTGTGTTTTCTTTATCCTAGCAAAATCAAACAACACGACCAAA